TAAATTATCAATTTTTTCTTGTTTTTATGGTTTCTGTGCGTTTGTAATGTTTTTAATTTAGTTGATATTTTGGGTATCGTTGTATCAATTTTTGCATTTCGATTTCTTGTCTAATGATAATAAATGTGAAGGTTTTTCAAATTTAAATTGTTTTTCAATAATATCAAAATTTAAATCTTTATTCGGATCTAAACTTATTGAGGAAGCAGGTGAAGGTGATTTTGGTAATGGTAATAAATGATCTGATTCGCTTACATCATCGCCTTTGGCCTGCGGGTCATTGGCTTCTGCATTCTTTGAAACATTTTCCTCGATTGCTAAAACATTTTTTTTGTCCAAATTAAGAATTTCTTGCGTAAATTTGGTAATATTATCAAGTTTGTCAGTTACAGGCTTCTGTAGTTTTTTAATTTCCTCCTTCGTTAAATGTTCTTTAAATTGTTTTAAATGGATCCTATTTTTTATTATTTCACGATTTTTTAAAATAGCGTCAATTATTACAGTTTTATTGTCAATGTTAGTCAAAAAAATATATTCCGGAATGGGGATTCGAACCTTGGACTGATCAAAAAGTTTGTAACACGTTGACCACAACTTGATGCCATTGCTCTATCAATTCTTATTCAATTGTAATGCATATTGTTAATAAAAAAGCGACATCTAGCAGGTAAAGCTTGAATAACCAGAAATTCCTAATAAAGAAATCACATTTATATTTTATTTTTGATAATAATTTTAAATTTTGATATTCGGTTGCCTTCAGAATATTTAATATCAAAGTTGATAATTGAATTATCAACGGAGTCGCTTTGAAAAAAAGTTTTTCCGTGATCAGGATTTGAACACGCAGCAAATGAATGCACATCTTCCGCGCGCGACTCTTAAACTTCTGCGCTAACGCGGTTTAGCTATGAACGAATGCGGTTTGCATTATATAATAATTATAGGACTAAGCGGTTCTGGTAAAACAAATACTGTTGTCAATCTGTTAAAATATATATTTTTTGATACTTTGTATTTGTGTGCGAAAGATTTAGAAGAAGACTATTGTCAGTTACTACAAAATGTATTTGATGATGAAAAAATTCGGCCTAAAGAACCTCATGAACAAAGCGAAATTCAAAATACGCGCAATGCACATGAAGGCCAAAGACCGATTATTGAATCGTATTTTTCATCAGATATAGAAGACATAGTCAATGTAGACGAACTAGATAGATATAAACAAAACTTGATTGATGTTGATGATTTCGTAACGGAAAAAGATCAAAAGAAATTTATAGATTTAGCTATACGCGGAAGAAAAATGAATGCGTCATTGATTTATATAACGCAGGATTGGTATAGAGTACGAAAATCAATTCGTTTACAATGTAATTGTATTTCGATATTTCCATTGTGGTGACCGAATTTAAATCAAAATTTTCGCGCTGAAATTAATTAACAGGGGCGCGAAATCACATTTGAATAATTTGAATTTGAAAGAGAAAAAAATTCAATCACAAAAAAAGAAATCGTTAAACATAGGCAACCAGGTGCACGGTAACGCTTGCTGGACAGGTTGGTTGTTATACAGAGGGCGGCATGGCGGAGCGTCAGTCTGAATGTGTTTTTGTGAATGTAAACACGTAGTAACAGCTAGTTTAAATTAGTTGGTTTGGTAGTTAATAAAAGGGAGGAAGCCTTGAAGAGGGGTGCAGGCTTTGTATAGATTCAGTGGGAACGGTCTGGACGATGGGGTGTTGTCGGCTTGACTTCACTCCTAGTTTTCGACCGAAACGACATGTTCGTAATGGAGAGATGCTGTGCGGTAGGCTTACCGATAGATTGAATCACCGTCGCGGGGGTGGGGCCAGCCCGAACCGGTAGCCCCAAACTCCGCCTGTGCTAAAACGCCACAGGGGTACTTTTGTTGTGCTCCTGTTAACTGCCGTAACTTAAAAATCTGCCGCCACACGCCCGCAATAACTTGTGTATTTGCATCCAGTTACTTTAATTCAGATTTTGCTTTGTTTTTATTAAATTTGTGATATGTCTGTCAATTCACGAGAGTCTTTTCTTTCATATTTTTAAGGTGTTTCATTTGAAATGTAATATGTCCGTGAATATACGATAGGGGGTTTTTGGGGCTGAGAAGTGAATCTTCGCAGTTGCTATTTGTAAATATTGTTAAAGTATTAAAAAATTTAATGCTAATTGTCTTGATCGCATATTATTTGAATTCTTAACTGATGGAATACTAGACTTTGTTAACGTGTAATCTTTTTTAATTAATATGTTTATCTTTTGTTTAGCTGATTGGCTTCGCCCTGAGCTGACTGTGGAGCCGTAGTCCCCTTCAGGGACGCTTTGTCAGATTGTTCCCTTTTGATATTATGAGTCATTTATTATGAAATAATATCTTCCTAATAAATGGAGAGTAAAGTTTGGCAATGCCAGCCCAGCGGCAAGGCCGAAGTTTGCCAGACTGATCATGAACAAACATCTCCGAATAATGAGTCGTTATTAAAAAAATATTTTAATTGTAAAACAATTAAATCTCATTCAAATTTTGTTAAAAGTAAAAATCAGAAATACGGAATTGGATATATGTATGTTATGACTGTAAAAAAATACAAAATGATAAATTTAGTTGTAATATATGCTTTATAGATGTACCGACACGATATAAAAAAAGACATTTAAAAAATATATGGCATGAAAAATTAGAAAAATATATTAGTGAGTTAAAAGGTGAAGACAAAAGTATTAAAAATAACATCTTGCGTTTGTGATAACCCACACAATACAAGCTGTATTTATTTTTTTTGCAGTAACACAGATGGGATTGAGCCCTCCTGCCGTTCCCCAGTCTCATCAACAACTGCATCGCCCCCGTCCAAGTCGTCGCCAACATCAAACTCATCATAATTTTTATATTCATTTAAAATAAATATTTTTAAAAAGTTTGTAGGAATTTTGTTATTATTATAGAGGAATCACAATAACGAACGTTTCGCTGAAGTGACCCAACAAAAACAGGGACAAAAGGGCGAATTTTAAGTGTTTTCAAAAGTGAATTCGCTTCGCATGCTACGCACTAGTCCACTGTGTGGACGCTCATGAGGACTTGTCCGAATTTGATTGGCCGAAATCGTATTCATGTGTGTGCTGAAGTGGCCCAATAGAAAAAAGGACAAAAAGCAAATTTTAACTTTTAACAAAGGTACTTTGAAGAGACGGGGGTAGATTTAATAAAAAAAAATGGTGTGCGCTGAAGGGACCTACTAGTACAAAATTCAAAAACAGGGTAAAATCTTTGAAAAATGTTAATTTTAAAATATACAAGACAAAAATGCTTAAAAAAGCAAAGTGTTCTGAAGGGGTCTTACTAGTAGTTTTATCAGGTTGGTTTTGCAAATTACAACAAAAAAACAACGTATCAATGAAACGTAAGTAAAAAAACTGCTGACTTACGGTTTATATTTTGTTTCCATTTCGCAGTGAGCCACATTTAAGAACTGTTCCATCACTTGCATTTTACTTTCTTTCATAAGCATTTGACTTAACAATCACCAAATAGTAAAAAACATTAGTGGGTTAAATTTTGTAATGTTATAACCATTAGTGAGTTCACGTATGGCTTTATTTAAATAAATGCGTTTCTAAAAATGCTCGTTACGTATAAAACGTTACAAATGGTCAATACATGCATGAAATATAGGTGCAAGGACGAAAGTGATTATTTTGTGTGACACCGGAACTAATGACTAATGACTTAATGTGTGTTTTTAGATTTACTGATATGAAAATGAACGCCCATGTTGGAGAGGGATTTCCAGCTTTGACGTTTTTGTGATCTAAATAATTTTTGAAAAATCCAAACGTTAAGGAAACTCATAAAAATGTCTAGAAATATAACTTTTTTAAGTTTTTTTGACTAAAAAATCCTAATTTTGTCTATACATATTGTGATTATTTTGTTTTCCATAGGCCTATATTTCAAAATCTTTGCAACATTCATAAATTTTGTAAACAGTTATTTTCTATTATGAAATGTAAATCGAACAGTTAATTATTTGGGCTCCGCTTATTGTTAGTGTGTAGACGCAAATATAAACTCCCACTTATCTGATTCAAAATTTATTTATTATTGTAAGATCTTTTGAGCTAGATTCGGCGATATTTATGACTCAAGATTCCTTTATTAATGGATTTGGCTAACGGAGTGTTCGAATAATCGAGTTAGTCATTTAAGCCGATGTAATCAAGCGAACTGGGAGTTTTTGAAAAGATACGTTTTAAAATTTATACTGTTACTGTATTTTTATAATCACCTAGAGCAAACTAGGCGGTATATGTATTCTCAACAATCTAAACAGGAAATTTCATTGGGACCGGAAATTCATGAATGTTATTACAAGGCTCCAAAGTTCTCTTCTGTAATAATAAGGTTATTATTGTCTGTTATACTCAACATGTTTGCGATCTCCCAAGAATATAATTATTCCGTTACAAGATTCCACCTGTGACAGTAGGCGAAAATAAAGCCGGTGACACTCGCAAAACCGACGTTTGATGAACAAATTTAGCTATAGGTCCGTAAATCGGCCGAATGAATCAAGATCGGTTATATCTACCTGTTAGTTTATTATTATGATTAGCTTGTACGATTGCCAACATAATAAATTGCTTTTATTGATTAAAGTTTGTGAACAAAAAATACCATTGGTTCCCAATGAATCTCGTTGAGCTTAACAAATCTGATTGATTCAATTAAAATCTCATTTATTTTAATTTATATAACTATTATGGATACAATGCGAAGAGCACGAAGTTAAATTAATGACCTCTTGTATATAACAAATTATTCCTGGAAGAAAATTAGTAAAGTCATCATTTTTTTAACTAAATATCAACAATCCATCTCTGTATTGCAACTAATTATATTACTTTGTCTTCGTTTCACGATTACGTTAACGGTTGTCGTCGGTGTCAGATTGTCGCCGCTAAAAACTTACCTACTCTTTCGTCATTCGCTCTTTAACGAGAAAATTTCTATAATTAAGTACAGCTGGAACTCGACTTAAGTACGAAATTAAAAATCTTCACTGCACAGACGAGTTGCGGAAAAAAGCACACTACACTTTTATGTCGTCGTTATTTTATTACCGATACGGATAATTATATCACTTTATCAAGAGATAATGACGTATGGTTGTTAACAATGAATGAAATTTTAAGCCAGATTAGTGTCTCCTTGAACAAATGACACAATAACGGTTGCGTGTTGTTAGAAATCCTCCCTTGGTAGTTCTTTGTTAATTTTTAATTACATGATTCAGCCGCTAATGGCAATGATTACAACGATAATGCAACGATTTTAATAGTTGAAGACACGATATTCTTCGACTACTTGAGACTAAATTGCTACCATTGCGGCCACAAAAGACACAATTATGTTCAAGGATGCTCACATTATTTAACAAAGACGGCGGCGTCTGAATAATGACATTTGTAAAGAAAGGAGAAGGTGTGAGAATTACTCGTCCACTCATTTCGATGTAGAACACACTGTAAATACAGCTTACATACCACCAGAACTAACAACCATAAAAACTTGTTAAAATCTACAATGGTTTTTTAGTTATGCACTGAAAAAACTTCGTTGTTTATTGAGAATTAACGGTATCTTTTAAGTCAACAAATCCTTGTATTCCATCTCATAATGACGCAAGTTACCTACCTGTATGTTACTTGACGTTAAATGTATTGTTTATCTACCACATAAAACTAGTAACCAACACTGCAAGCCACCCTAAATAATACACTTTTACGGTACTCATTCAACATCATAAGGGCTTGGTAGGTATCACACACGCATTTCAGAAAGTAACCCCAGCGGCAAACGAGATGCACTTTTTTTTCTGGCGTTTGATCGCTGTCTGTGCTCTAAATTCGGCAAAACAACAAATCAATTTGCGAATTTCTACCATCGGGGTTAAGTGAGGCCAATGTCGACGCTAGTTATCGCAAATCTTTTAACTATTAGAATACATTACCCATTGACGATAAACAATAGCGTTGCGTTGATCCTTAACGGAAACGTGACCATAGTGAAATAATCCGCAACTACGGCCGTGAAAACCTACGCGTACAATATACATATTTTTAAACTACTTGTAATAATTCCATTAAAACACGTAGGAGGTTCCAGTTGATCAAAGAACCAGTGCGAAAGTGCAGCGCAACTGCTGTAATAATGGAAGGCGTATTAAATATTTTTCTTTTTTGGCTTTTATACCGGCTGACCGCAAAAACTGTCCCTGCACGCAACTGAAATAATTACGTCGGATGGATAACCAATTATGTATTTTCGATCCCAAAACGAGAAAAAAACTTGTCGGATGGAAAAAGAAACACATTGTTAGGTAGAATAATCTGGAACTGCATGTCGACTTTCTCACGAGACGAGATTCATGCAGAAATGACGTCACTTTTGCAATTGTTTGGTTAAGATGTACACGGGCTATATGATACCGACAAATGCAAAAATCATCCAAAACAATGGGGAATAAAATTAATGATTAAACACAAAACAATTTAACCATTCTGGCTGCTCTGCCATTAGTATGCATGTTACACAAGCACTTTAAATAACTTGATGCTGCTAAAGTGAGATGAGCATATACTTGATTTCTGAAAATGGCAGTTGTCTTTTATTTAATTTACTTTAGTAGTCTAATATATGTAATGTTCTAACTCAGATTATTATGCCTAGTTTTCTTAGTCATTTTCCTATTTTCTATGCATTTTTTTTCAACAAAAACCCGTATTTCTACCAAAACATCAAAAAACAACATTGAATTTAATTTTTAACCCAAGTTCTAACTCAGATTTTCCCAAATCATCAATTTTTTTAGGAAAATGAGTCGATTTTCAAGTTTTGTCGTTAAAGTTTGTTGAGCCCATTGAAGTCGGTTCAAAAACACAAAAAATTGAAAAAATGGCTTGTTTTTAGGCTCATTTTATCTACTGAAACATCAATTTTTTATGGAAACTACCCCATTTTTTATAGTCTTTTTAAAAATGTGAGCCAGACGTAACAACTGAATCTGTGGTTTTTGTTGACAAAAAATGCATAGAAAATAGAAAAATGACTAAGAAAACCAATTAGTTTGCATCAAACAAATATAGAAATATCTAGCATTGAATCATAAAAATAGAAGATCAAACTGGTTTAGAAATTTTAAAAATCGAATACCATACAAATTTTAGTTATCATTTAAAAAATACCTTGCTCACCCATCATTATCAAGTCATTATATTACTAACAAAAAATTTTGATAAATAAATGGATAATAATCAATCGAAGTCTTGTACAAAATGTAAAACTGAAAAGACTTTAGAAATTATTATAGGAATAAGAATCATTCACATGGGCATCATGCAACTTGCAAAGAATGTTGGAGTTATATTGTTGATAAAATTTTAGTCAATCAGTTCCAATTTAAACCATCCCGCCATAGTTATCACGACGTGGACTTACTTTAAACTGCGCATGATAGCGACACTGGCGGCACAAAATGTCACCATCTTCTAGATAGAGAATTTTAGATTTATAACCAAACTGACAAACTTGATAATCTGTCAACTATGTGTCAACTCGCCTACTCCCCTCTGCCAAAAAGATTCTCTGCTCCCTGTTCTCTGCCATTTACGTTCTGCACCCTCTTCTGCAATATACTCGTGTTTCTCCCAATCTCGAAGGATATTGTCACAACATGGCGCTAAAGTACCCTAAAATCGCGCGTATAGTCCGCAGTTTTTAAATCTCCCTCCTAAAAATCAGATAGTCCGCAACCTCGCGTATAATCCGCGGACAATGTGCGTGTCTGTATGGTTCGATAAGGTTCGATATTTGCTATTTAGGTACCTAAATTTAAGTATCTAGGTACTTTTGAGAATCTTTTTATTTTTGTTATATATTTTATTTTTCATTTATATTTAGAATGCCCAATAATTTTTTTTATTTTGCGTTTAAATTTTTTGTTGGTTTTCCTACAGAGTATAGTCCGCTCTCGCCTATAGTCCGCCCTCGCACATAGTCCGCACCCGGCGTCAGGGAAAACAACGTATAGTCCGGGGACTATACGCGCGATTTTAGGGTAACTAAAATTTGTATGGAATTCGATTTTTAAAATTTCTAAACCAGTTTGATCTTCTATTTTTATGATTCAATGCTAGATATTTCTATATTTGTTTGATGCAAACTAATTGGTTTTCTTAGTCATTTTTCTATGCATTTTTTGTCAACAAAAACCACAGATTCAGTTGTTACGTCTGGCTCACATTTTTAAGAAATCGTAGAAATCAGAGTAGTTTTCCTTATTTTTAGCATAAAAATCTGGCTCACACTTTTAAAAAGACTATAAAAAATGGGGTAGTTTCCATAAAAAATTGATGTTTCAGTAGATAAAATGAGCCTAAAAACAAGCCATTTTTTCAATTTTTTGTGTTTTTGAACCGACTTTAATGGGCTGTTTTTCCAAACTCAACAAACTTTAACGACAAAACTTGAAAATCGACTCATTTTCCTAAAAAAATTGATGATTTGGGAAAATCTGAGTTAGAACTTAGGTTAAAAAGTTAAATTCAATGTTGTTTTTTGATGTTTTGGTAGAAATACGGGTTTTTGTTGAAAAAAATGCATAGAAAATAGGAAAATGACTAAGAAAAATAGGCATAATAATCTGAGTTAGAACATTACATATATTAGACTACTTACTTTACGTGGGTTTCAAAGTGAAAGGGAAGCGGCTACTGCTTCGGAGTATGCAACACACAATACACTACACAATGTCAAAAGCCGCACTACCAAAAATAAAACAACGAATAATTATAATAATTTATTTAAAGTTAAAAGCTGTTTACTAACAAATATAATAAGTTAGCTATCAAAAGTATAATTCCACGTCAACTATTGCACGAGAAGAACAAAGAACTAAGAACTACACCAGTCGTATACGACATAAGGCTAGATGTTTCAGGAATGTTGTCATATCCTGCAACATTCACAACTCACAAATAATTGATAAATTTAACTAAACTATTGCTTTCTGATTACAAACACACGTTCTTCTCACATCCCTTATATTCCTTAGCGCATAGCTAATATGCGTTATGAAATACAAAGAACTGAAATTACCACGATGAGCAGCAGCTGGACGGCTGAAGAGTGGCAGAAAAAACCTTCACATAACTTGTAAAATCTGACTGGCTTCAAAAGCCATGCCAGGCAGTAAAATAACAGGACTTGACACATGTCCAGACTCGACACATACCATGTTTGGATATTCGTCGTCTCCAAAATCGTTCATTTCCTTGGCATGATCCATCCAAGGATTCCAAATGACAGTGTCAGGAAAATTGCACTTTTGTATGCGCATCTTACGCCCTGAGACAACATTTGTTATTATGTGTTCATGTGGTGTGTTTTGATAAATTCTATCAGTCCATTCTCCAATGGTGACAACGTCACGAGTTTCTTGATAGAGAGCCCCTTCGTTCGACGTTTTATCTAGGAATGTACAACCCTGTAGACCTGTTATTTGGCAACGTCGCACGTCAGGAACTTTGAAATAAGTGTGCAACAACAAGTTAAAACTAAACGTTGTGTCTTTACTTGGGTTGTACACGGCAATGTTGGAATGTAACTCCTTTTCGCGCAGGATTAGTCTGTACGTCAATTGGAATCTGCATGAACAATAAAAAAAGTCGTAATACATGTAAATGAACAAATTACTTAGCAACTACTGCGCACTATCATCAAACATCTATTATTATAATTAATTGCAGATGAGTAAGCTTTTTCGGATTATTATTGACTTGACTAGCTGCTACAAGCGATTATATCCTGTTCAAAGGAAAAATGAGAAAATTATGACTTTAGTAGTTAACAAAGTTAATGAAAATGGATAAATAAAATCGTTACGTTTTATAGACCAATGTCGTGTTTTCAAGTTCATTGTAAAACTTCAAAACCGCGACTTTTCAGTGTAATTTCAAATATATTTTGTATGTTATCAAACTTTGAGCGACAACCGACGTCATATTTTGATTTCCCTGAAAATGTTGCGCAATGCAAATATAAAAACCTGTTCTATTCTCCTTTGTTTAAGTCATTTCATTGTTATAAGTACACAGTTTCATTCAAAAACTATAACTTTTATGCATATCAAAACCCAATTTTTTATTTAACCTTGAAAGATTTAGACGATTATTAAATATTCTATAATTGTTGTTGTTGTTCTATACTGGACTAATAGATTAAAAAATACAATCGAATTCGTTTGTGTAACCTGATCACCAACATTTTTGTAGTAAGAAGTACCAGATAAGATTTGAGGCATTTAAAAATGGTTTAGACACAATTATTGTTTTACATTTTAAGAATCGTCATTGTTGGAAACATAATTTTGATGAATAGAAGATTTGAGCATTTATTACCAAGTCACTGTCAAACAGCGACACATAATCATTACCGCACCAAACTATACTTGAAAGTAGTGTGAAAAAACTTTTTGAAATGAGTTGACGGCCTTTGAGAAATATACGCTTAAGCGAGTGACACTGTAAATAATCTTGAACCGAAAAAGCAGCCTTGACAAGCGCCTAGCATCATGCTGCTCATTACAGTTCTCATCCTATTTCTCTGGATTAGTGTGCATTAAATTAAGCCTTTTTGTTACTGTCCAAGTCTCTAAATCCCAGTGACAAAAAAGTACAAAAAGAACATGCGCACCAACCGTGAAGTTGCAACCCGTCCATAAGTTGTAAATCGCGGCGGCACGACTGCGCATGTGCAAAGTTTGAAAATTCTCAATACTCAAAAACTCACTCTAAAATCAAGTTTGCTTTGAACATCAAAAACCATAAATGACAATCGGTCTAACGTGACTTTTAGTTCGTGTGTATGTTTGCGGCGGGACGCCAAATTTTGAGGTTAAGTTAGATACTTACGGGAAGCTCCAAATGGAGCGAGTAAAATCCGAGTCCATGAGCGAAAATATGGCCTCAACATCTCCACTTGCTAATCTCTCTGGAGCTTTCTCCAGATTCCAGCGAACAATCCTCGCGAAACCGTGTTGTGGCCCAAACGTCCAAGGACCGAATTGTGCTGGAACAAAAAACTAGTCACTATGCGCCCAAGCGAGTTTTGGGGGAAACTTACGAAAGACGAAGGGAATTCCGCCCCGTATGGCTTTTTTACCGTCGAATACTGCTTGTTTACTAAAAAGGTACAAGTTTTGAAAAAAACGTTCAATGGTGGAAATAGTGGTCACATACCTAACGAACAACTGTTCTTGATTGTTGACTCTCCAGGAGACAACGGTGGCACCTGTAAGTTAGTCATAGTTAGCGAAACGAATACATGGAGAGGTTATGTTTTTATTGTTTGGGGGCGGCATTCAGCGGGGTTGGGGGCAGTATTGGCGCAAAGCTTGGTCATACCGTGCAAGTTTATGGTGCAGGTGGTGTTGTTGCCCCTGTCGAGCACGACAACACTCGTAGCAGCCATGACCGATGTATGTGTGGCCACCGGCCGAACACACGATGCTCCCGCGTTGTTTTGCTATTCCCGCACTTGGTTGCTTGGTTCACACTTTCACGCGTTGCTACCTGCGCGGTCACACGACAGGTGCAAGTCCCTCTGTTGGTAGCGAAAAAAATAAGATCCTTATCGATGGACAAACGCCCCGACGAATAGCTAACGTCGATACAACGAAACTAGGGATGAGATGCGAAAGCGCACTGGTTTCTATCCCCAGTTCTTAATATGCAGAAGAACGGACGCGACTAGTTTTTCATCATTATACAAAAAACCGAACAGTACAGATAATGGAAGCCAAGAATTCAATTTGCGCCATCTATGGAGCAGTAGCTCTTCTAAACGTACAGGTGGTGTACCGACTGGGTTCGCGTAGAAGCCCGCGAATCAGTAATCATCATTATCCTTGTCTTTGTGCTATAAGAAATAAGTGTACAAATGACATACGCAACAGTTTCAGCGATATTGACGTCGAAGAGTATCTCAGAAATATGTTGTCTGTGAAGTTTTGGTTTTTTACATTGGCAACCAAATGGTTATGAGACAAACAAGAGTTCCAACGTCAAGGACACTCATGTCGATTTTGTTGGCAACAGCAGTCGGACACTCGGACATGGAGAACCAGTGTATCGGTAAAACATCTTTCATGAAAAGTTGTTTGCTTTATACGTTTATAATTGTATTTAATCACAATAATACGATTATCGATGGGGGATGTCACGAATGTTAATAAAAATGAGAATGCAGTAGGCTGTGAATATCAAATGGTGTCAATGACTCATTAGAAATATCCAATTTTCCGGTTTCACTTAAAAATTGTGATCAATATTTCATAGTTCAACTTGAGATCCAAGTCATTCAATTCAATTTTTCATGTTAAAGCGCCTCTGGGTTCTGGGAAACCAATGCTGAAACGCTCTCCTAATTTTGCCTAAATAATATTCATAATATGCTACAATTTATAAATCCGAGTCACAGGACACCAACTTATGCAAAAGCGTAATTTGTGACAAAGCGAAATTGGACGAAAGGGAAAATGTGTACCGTAAATAGAAAAAAAGGAGAAGGTGAAAATATAAATACGTTGATCTTGTGTTATCACTCTATTATATTGTTGGTTGCATATATATTCGTCTAAAGATACGTGATCTTGTAGCTTTTTCTACTTTCCAACAAAATTCCGGTTGTATATTCTTTTTTCGCCTAATTTCCGTTCGTTACAAATTACGTTCGCCTATTACGCGCGTCCTCAGAAAGTTTTTTCTTTTAATTTATCAAAAGTACAACACCGCTGCATAACTTTATTGCCGTCTGCGACTGTTCTTATTTGTCTTTAAATTCTATTAGTCTAGACTTCGGTGTATTATACACTAAAGTTTCCAACTGTGTTTGAAGTTTGCTTTGGTATTGACCAAGAAGTCGACGAAAGTTGGGGACAATAGAAAGTATTATTACATGAACAAGTGGATCCAACACAAGAATTTTAAACAGATCTTGATAGAGCAAACTCAATTTACGTAATAATACAGTGGGGCGTGCTACATTACCACTTTTCCCTGCCTAGAAACTAAACTGTTGCTTGTGAATTTTATTAAAATGTAAAAAAATTAACATAATATGACACTTAAACCTGGTAAATTTGGTTTAACTGATAACTCAGACGGTTTTAAAGTAATTAATCGTCGGCTGCATGAAAGCGGGAGGTAATGTTGACCTGCTTATTGAGTTTTGCGTTTTTCGCTTTATTGACTGCAGGTAGGACCCATCCTTGGGGTGCAGTCGCCAGTAGTTCCATAAATTAATGTCACAGCTGTTCGTCAGACGTCGTTCGCTTCCGCGGCACGGCATGCTGCTGGTGTCTATAAACTTTGATTTTACGAAACTTCGCGCGCTTTCTGGTTTTCCTCTTTTTCGAAAATTCACACGAAACCTTAATGGTGCTTACTCAGCAGTTATTTTTAAATAGTGATGAATTCGTTCCTGCTACAATTATGCATTGTATGGAAATGAACCAAATATATTCACTGACGTCATTGGGGTTGGCGAGCAGTCCGGTCGATGTTCATCGTCGTGGTGGTAATTGAAGTTGTTTCAATAATTTTGCAGCGAATTTCGATTTTGTGCCGAAGGTGTAGGTGTGTTGTATAGAGTGGGTGTTGTATCAACTTGCATTCTAGATTCAATTTCATTATTGGTAGCGGTTCGCAGACGTGCGTGATCAAATTAGGTATTCAGTGGGGGATAAAATGTCGTTTTTATTTATATTGCAATATAAAAAGGTATAAAAGAGCGGTTTATCAATATTACAAGGTCGTAGGGCTTAATCGCGTCTAGAACAATACGTTTTAATAGCACGAGTGCGATAAACTCTATTTACCGTAAACAAAAAATAGTAATTTCGTTATCGTATTTGGATACGATAGGGGGATTAAGGGATTCAAACAAATATGTATACTATGTAATTTTATTTAATATTTTTATCCAATGAACACATTGTCAATAATAAGATAAACAGATTGCGCCATTTACAATATGGGAGAGATACCAGGGTGAAACGATAATAAAGGAACGTAGAAAAGTGATAACGACTTGTTTTGGACAACGGAAAGTATATTGAACGCCACTTGGACGAGGGCACCAACAGTCATAAGTGGTTGATGTACAATGGCGTAATCTGGCAGCAGCTAATTTAGTGACACATAGATATAAATAAATAGAATTTAATTTCAAGGTACCTTTAAGGCTAGTTGAGATCACTAGTGCACTATTATCTCTACGGCAGGCCGCACGAGACAGAGTCGGTCGCAGCATGCAAGAGAACTGATCGTGAGTGAGCACTGTCACCTGTCACAGCACGGAGAGCCCGCCCTCCGGCGGTCGGTATAGATTGTACATGTGAATATCCTATCACTTCATAATTAATTTGACATTTAATACAGTAATTATTAGTTAATATTGCTCAGTAATGTTCTTATAAGTATATACCATATACTCGTACTTTACCACCTAATGAGATTGAGATGATAGCGTACTTAAGTACACACCAGTTTATGTTTATTGAATAAAAAATGACACTCTAAGTACCGATATTAGTTGAGTGTAAAACAAAGAGTCGCTGGACATTAAATGTAATATGATATATAACATAACTACATGAATACACTCGTTAGTGTTAGCAGTATTAGGCTATTCTACTAAGTCTTACGCTACACCCTATCATAACACTGCATGCACTCAAGTGGCATTTGGCTTGGCCCAGCCGTTCTTATGAAAAGTGAGCACTTCGCGGAACATCATTTTGATTTGATACAGTATTACATAGGATAGAGAATCACGTCGGTTCCAGTAGGAGACGGTACAGAAAAACGATTACCATCATTCTACCTGTACGTTCTCCAACTTCGCCGCTCATACAATCTATAACATTGAGAAGAATAAATAAGTATCTCTTTGGCATAATCACTATCCAGACGTGGTAACATTTTATAATTAAAATACTGTTCGGCTATCGCCATTTCCATAGCAAAAGTCCTTTGATTAAATGCTTGACTGTCGGTTATCAAAACCGACATTCCTACTTCGAAATATACTTAATCCATACAACAAATTACGAATAAATTGTGATAACTTCTTGGCCACCGCCGCGGACCATGAGCACGCGTTCTAAGCCTTCAGTCAGTACTTCTAAAAATTCCATATCTGAAACGAAAATCATGAAGAGAGCGCAACACCAAAAACGTCCCAAACTCACAATTAGACTCTCGTTCCATCTTGGTGTCTTTTGGAGGGCCGGGTAAATTCAGAATCACTAGTTGAGCTTCATGGGAACGATTTACTATCACTTCGTTTAATTTCACAGCAGTGTGCATTCGACGCACGTTGCCTTCGTCACTAAAATCACCAAACGTTTGAAAAAAAAAAAAAAAATTAAAATTTCAAAAATCCTTACGGGGTTATCGTGACAGGCTTCTTCTTTTCTTCGGAAATTGAATTTTCCTTCGTTTCTTCGTGGCATTCCTTTTCCGAGAGGTCCTCTTTCTCCGTCGTCGAATTCTCATTATCCTCCGTTTTGGTTTGCGAATTAGGCTGAAATGAAATTAATCTAACGCGTCTTCCAACAATTATAACATACCTCGTTCGTCGGTTCATTTTCCGTAACCTTGTTATCCTTATCACCGTCGGCACCGGGTTCCTGGAACCTAACTTTCGTGGCGGTTTTAGCGTCGATGTTCGGATGGTGTTGATCTACGATTGATTGTACCTAAAAATAAATTCATATGATTTGTTTACACGAATTAAATCTGGAATGGGCGCGATAAGTCCGTGTGGACGGGAATCAAACCAAAGTTAAACACACTCAATGATGATGTATGGAAACTCAACAAAAACGTGCACAAATCAATATACCATGAGCCAATCTAGCAAAACATGGTGATGCTTTACCAGAGGCAGCTTCTCTTCGGTTGACATTTCATTGAAATCCACCAAATCCACCTTGCATGTCAAATTATATATTAGTGAGTAAGACAGTAAAAACAATTTCCCTCTGTGTATAGCATTACGAAAAAACTTACCACACCCAGACTTTCTTTTTTGTTGAGGCGCAATTCCCTCAACATTTGGTTGCGCTGTTCCATCATCAGTGTCCTTTCGTACGTATACGCCGAAATGTCGCTATCCATCTAAAAGTGCACAATCATAGTTGGAAGAATCGACTCGTCGAATACGAACCATTTCGACAACTTCGACTTCCGCTTCTATTCGAAGATGATATAAGAACGTTTTTAAGTCTTTCTTCATTTGGATTGAATTGTCTTCCATTTGAGCAACAGTAAAGATTCGCATTTTGCAATTTTTCCACGTGCGGTGCTGTTTGAGAAGGAACGGCAAAAGCATAAGGAGACCGCCGTCATGCACTATCCACCAAATATCGATATTGCCGAAGACTTTATCCGTGGAGTCCGGGAAGAAGTTAATGCCTTTAGGAACTAATAACGCCATCCGAGCGGAAGTTACGTTTCGAACGGTTTGCAAAAATACTTGCCACGTCCGATCATCTTCCGATTGCCGCCAACCATACGGCCACCCTAAGATGACCGTATTAGGTTTCATACCGCCGAGACCTGCAGTTTGCACCCTAAAAATAGAACGTCGCAACCGAGAACAGTATCAAGGGCAGGGCTTACAGATTGGATAATCCTTCGGTAATGTTGCGTGCCACTAGAATATCGACGAAACCCTTGACCCGTTCCTCGTCCATGGTTTTTCTCAAACTTTGTTTAGCTGCCATTGCTTCTCCGTAGGACCGAGTAAAGTCTCCGCCAATAACAGCCGCGCATACGGTCAACCCTTTGCCTAAAAGTTTCTGCTTGTATTTTTAAAGCGACGGCTGACCGCGTCGATAATTATTTACCGGCTTTGAGCTGTGACGCAAAAGCGAACAATTTCTTGTATTTGGGAACCAGATCGGATGTCAGTTTAACGAGAATGAGGAGCTGAGGCCTCCAATTCTTGGTGTGGGGAGGACCTTCTTCTAATCTCAGTAATGAGTATCGCGCCGCTGACAACGCTAGACCTCGAATACCGTCACCCCATTCTTTCTCGGCACTGTGATGAATTGCCCGGTTATTTAGCGATGATTTTGTCGCTTAATTAACTTACCCTCTGTATTCGATGTATTTATAGATCATTCCCGCCATTCCCATGGCGAGCAGCGCGAAATACCAAGACGTCATGAACATTATTGCTATACACAAAGATAAGCCGATGAATGATAGCGACCAGTGGTAGTACTTGAATCTCGGTCGCCAATTGGGTGTTCGCAGTAAAGTCTGTAGGGCACAAGCGAGATTTACGAAACCGTAGCACATTAAGAAAAACATCGAGAGTAAAGGCGCCAAGAGATCAACGTTTCCTAATAATATACCACCTTGACAAATTACGATAGTTAAAAGTAGTGCTCTAGTTGGTTCGCCGCGACTAGACGAAACAGCAAACGGTGCTAAAAACGGGATTATACCATCCTTAGCGATAGCTTGAAGTAAACGAGGTGCTCCAGTCAAAGATTGAAGGCCAGCACCGAGGGTAGAAAGAAACGATCCTATTAATATTACCCATTCGTTTGGCCACGCCATATTGGCTACAACTAATTTACCACCTATAGATACACCAAATCTGAAAGAAATCGAACTTAGATGTCGTTATCGTAGCGGAGGATACTAACTTGTCTCTAAGTAGAAGGTTGTCAACGGTACCAGCAAAGAGAATCACAGATGATAAATATACAGTCGACGTGGTCAAAATGGCACAAATTGTTCCGATTGGAATAGATTTTTGGGCATCGGCCAAGTCACCAGAACGATTTGATCCGGCCATAATGCCAGTTACCGATGGGAAAAAAATTCCGATTAAAATTGTAAACGACGTTGTGATATCTGCCACTACTTGGCCGTTTTGTCCACCCTCTGCGATCATCGGTTCAATATCTTCGGGATTCTTTCCAACAGCAACATACTGTCCGTTTTCCAGAAAACTATCGTAAATATTGTCTAAAATAGGAACTCTTTAGTTGCGACTCGGTATTTTTAAACGATTATCTACCCAAAAGAACACCCGACGATAATCCTTTGATTCCTTGTATTATCGATACATCGTGACTTTCGTAGTACGGATCGCAGGAGTGAGTTCCATTTGGACAAAACATTTGGTATATGGCGCCGGAAATATTTTTATGACAATCGGTAATGGCTACTCGTAATAATCTTTTACCGAGGACACACAGTCTGGAAATAATTAATTCTAAGTACTATCGTCGATATGTACGTGTCGTAAAACCTTTCTAAAGTACCTATCATTTGTTCTCCAAAAAACAAACAAACACGTCCAGGGGGTCAACTACAAAAGCCACACCAATTTAACGATGGATGCAAGACAACTTTGAGGATAGGGTACACACGTGCACTTTTGGAATATGTTGAATGGTGAGGGTTAGTATGTGCATGCTTACAAGGGAGGATGAACAAAACGTGCGAAACGGTTATACTAACTGCAAATCATCTTTGCCGTTGATATTGCGAAATATTCCAATGTACACAGCCATTATGGAGAGGATGACGCATGCAAGAGCAACTGCGGCAAATTTGTTGACAAACTTGACACCGACGAACACAATAGTTCCCATCACCACGAGTAAACCAGTTCCATATACCCGGAAATTGTTGTACATTGCGTCCTGATCTTTCGTAAAATCCCCAAAAATCGATAACCCAGGAGCCATGTAGGTCTGGAAAATATTTTCCCGAAAAGGCCAACAGCGATCACTTGACAACTTACCAGCACGATTTCCACCGCACCAACGATATACATGGCGGCCGCTAACGTCGTCCCCGTGTAAAACAGCATGCCGACGGCGCCGCCAAACTCCGGGCCGAGGGAGCGGGATATCATGAAGTAGCTCCCGCCCCCCGGCACCACTCCGTTGGTGGCGATAGCCGACATGGAGATGGCCGTCAACATGGTAACGCAACAGCAGCTCAACACGATGAGGAAGCCTTGCAACGCCCCCGCCGTGCCCACCACCCAAGTCAATCGAATGAAGAGGATCACACCGAAAATATTCTGGATGCAGGGGAGATAGACACCCATGAGGGTACCCATGCGAGCGCCCCCGCCGGCCGGCCGCGCATCGGGGTCATTAGATGCCGGAGGAATGGTGTTCGAGTAATTCGCCAACGAGCTAATGAGAGTAGATATCCTAGGTCTGTCCTCCATCTCCTCGGAGTAGAGGTACAAGTTCGTCTCGTACCCGGACATCTTCTCCGACACGAATGGCTGCTCTTCGGCGCCATCTCCTGCAAGCATACTACAAATCAACAACCCCCGTCACACGAGGCGGCTTTACGACGCGGTCAAAACTCCTTCGAACACACAGATTAATGGCTGTTGGAAAACTTCTCGAACTAGAGCAAGCTCAAGCTTTAACGCGCAGCTGACTCCCGCCATCGCACGACACGAAAAACCATCGCCAAAGTGTTGCGCTCCATTTGAGAATGCAAATTTCTGTTTAGCACTAAAGGGTCTACTAATCGAAGCGTACATTTTTTATCAAACACTTAACTTACGAGTTAGTAAAGAGCGGGCTACGAGTAACTTTTAAGGGTTTTATTAGAATTTTATGGCGCGCTTTAATGCCTGTTACAGCAGCGTGATGGTCTACACAAGTGTATGGAACAGTTAAAATAAAATGAAACGGTCGAAAATGGTTATTGTTCCTGCATCCTATATGTTGTCTTCTTCACTCTAGTATTTATCATTGTCATCCGGTCTGATCTCCACGGAGGAAATGCAGCTGAAACTTTCACTAAAAGTAGTTTGCGAACTTCCACTACAACGTGTAAGGGACTAAATTGCGGGAATCTACAATTCAGATAGTTTATTACACAGGCGTGTAACACACATATCTGGGGAGGATATGCATATGAATATTTAAATCCGTGTTTATAACTATTTAACATTCAATATGCATTCGACGGCTCCAGAATGTTTTTGGCATGATTTGAACACGTGTTTCTTGGTTCCAACACGATTGTATACTGCATAAGTTCATATGCGGATGATCGCATATATCCATTTTAACAAAACATGTAATCTATTCTTTGCTAGTATAATGATACAGGTTTTGAGTTCTCGCTCTCGTCGATGCAAGAGCAGAAAATTATCAGAAGCAAAAAGCTGTTCTAATAAAGAAAAAGTGTGGTGTTCGGTAATAGTACCTAAACCAAGGTTGAAAAAGTATTCCAATACTGTCAAATAGGGTGTAGCTTCGGTCGTACCTCTGTCATCCATCTTTCCTATGCCATAGGCTACATTTTTCTGACGATTTAAACCCGAGAAGGTATCTTGTTGCCAAGTTTACAATACGAATAGACTCTTTAACCTCAGAGAGACGCGACTTTTATCAAAATTGACCTAAGGGGACTAACATCATGGAGGTTAGGATAAAACCAATTTGAATTTGAGTGAAGTACCTTAAATGGTACTACTGCTTCACTCGGTGTGTCAATCTAATCACGTTTGAAGAAAAAATGAAGCGTTAAAATGTTTGGGGCAAGTTTGTATATTCATTAGTTAGTGAAGATGAAGGCTAATCGCTGTGAAATTTCACGTGACAAGGTTCTCGCTGGGTGCAGGCGAGTAAATTAGCACCTTGACTCCATTATCAGTCAAGTTATTATCGTTTAGCAAAATGTAACGAAGATAATTTGCATCATTTAATTAGAAAGTCTATTTCCATCATGAAAACTTGGCAGAGAATAAATTCCTGACAATCTTCTAAATAGTTAACTCGAAGTGCACGTCAAACTTTAATAAGTTACAGTTTCAATTTAAAGTTCGCCCCACACGTGTAAACCAGAGGCAAGGCTTTATGTGAAGAGTTTGTTTGCTTGCTTTTTATTTGCGGATTGCTCTGAAAGCATTCATCATAAAACGAAGTTGAAGTTGTAATATAAACGTCAACAACTCATCATATGCAGTCAAAGCTAAACATTAGAACGAGAGAGACGTAAATCCGTGATTTTCCACCAATTTTGAGCTCATTCAGAAAATTTGCATCACGCCTATACCAGATTCTTATTATAACAGGATTCCATCAAAAATTCATTGCTTTTGCTCGAATATTCGTAATGGGAATGTAAAAAATGATTGCGTCAATATTCGCATGAAATGAGGTATTAGCGCAAACGTTCAAATCACACGTTGCTTTTTGCTTTGAGTGTTTTCTCTTTTTGATCGAAAAGCAGGTGATTAGCCTTTGTAGAGCCGTGGGTAGTTTGTCGTAATTTGGATTCCAATTATCCTTGATAACGCAGTCGATCGCTATTTAGTTCATTTAAATGTCAAAAAGCCGATTTGTGAGGTACAATTAAAGATAAAGTGATACCGTTACGTAATAAAAAATATGGCAAGACTTTGGACGATTATACATCATAAATCTAAATGCACGATATTAAAAAACAATTGTGAAGCAATGAACGTCGATTAGTTTAATCGCTGGATCAAGTCGAGACGCTTAATCCGGGGGTGTTGTAATAAGCGAGTAAATAATTTTTAAGTTGATTTTCCTCGATATGAAGTTCCTTTGCTTCTCGCCGTCAGCAAGAATGGAGTTAAAATATTAAAGGCGCCGAAATTGAGTGTATATAACTTTTTCTTAATGGGAAACTTATTAATAAGATGATGAAAAGTGGAGCGAGACCCTCGAGGCCAAATTATATTGAATTTGCAAGTATTTCGCAAAGCGATGATTCTGCAAGAAAGTGTTGACTACACAAAGGAAAGTTTATTTCTGCCTTCCTTTTCCACGTTTTGATTTATTTTTGTTGCGTTGGCGTTGATCCATCCATTCCACCCGAGCGGAGTTGATCCTTTTAATTTAAACTACATTTACCGCGCGCTTACGACAGTCAACAGAAAGATTATTGGTTTAAGATGTGTATCTTATCATTGTTACTCACGCAGCCTAAGTAGGGTAGTTCCATTAGCGTTATTAAACTGTAAAAGTTTTTTTAAAATAGCTAAGCGACGATCGGAAATAAGCGGATGAATTATTGCACATAATCCTTGACACTTTTATGGTAAAACGTATTGTGCGAGGAGCTAAAAGGAAGCCACCGAAATGAGCTAAAGGTGAATTTTTTAAACGAGAAATCAACAATTTATTCAAAATTCAAACCTTAGGTTCATGAATTTTAACCCCGCTCGGAGGATTTTTGAAGATTCGGACGATATCTATGTTTTATTTATTCAAATGCACCTGAACAAATTCGCGGCACAACTTCACGTCGTGATAAATAAAAGATGGAACTTAGCGATGCGACGACAAGCCCGTGAAAAATAAATCGACGTCGGGTAATTTACGACGGCTAAATGATTTTCGCCAGAAGAAAAGCTTGAAGAAAATGTAATTAAGGAAAGTACGATGGTATCTCCACTTTTTACACCACACCTCGGGACAAAAACAAATATTTTTCAATAAATCAAAAACCTGGTATTGATTTCCAGTCACTTTTTACCCGCGTTATGTAAGCGATGAGAAAATTTCGTATTTCGAGTGTTTTAATTTATTATAATAGCAACTCCCGCAAAAACATGATTGATTGCTAGGAGAAGACGCGTTCGGATAAGAACTCCAAGAATAATCTTTCTGAATTTGAGTCAGACGTGTTGCGCTTACCGAACGCGGAATTAAAAGCAAAACTAAAAGTTATTAAATCGGGAAGACTCCGGCGTTTATCAAAGATTGAGCGAACGTTCGGGGTTGGTAACACTGCGAGATGAAAGAGAAGAGGCGACGACGTCGGTAATCTAACGAATTTAATTATTAAAGTTAATTAATCCACGTATAAATCCTTCCCATTTTAGATCAACCAGAAAATACCGTCTTCCGTCGGCACGGAAACCTGTGTGACGACATCGATCCCAGGTTTTGGTTCATTTTACCGCCACATTGATGACTTTGGCTCAATTGCCACTAAATCTCGACACAGAGGGCGTCCTGCTGTCACGGCACGCCGTCAACTCATCTCCATGAAATAAATAACTTCCACAATAACACACACGGTGCTCGCTAAGGAATCCGTTCACAATTTAAAACGTCAAACTAAAGTGACATTTCCAACTTTTCCACACCCCATATGTATATATACTTTTTCAAATTCGATTTTCTTTTTTAGGATTGGCGGCGTAATAAAGACCGCCCTACCTGGAGTACAATGGCACGGTTAATAAAACGGACCCTCGTCATAAATTTTGTCCGTCTAATAATTCCTCCAAGACTTTCTCCAGTCGATACTCAAAAATTGACGAGCGTGCCTTGTCGACGCCCGAATTTACCCGTCGTTGTCTTTACAACCCATTCGATACACCCTCACCATGCCATAATGGATACGGCATGCTGTAAAAACGGAAACAAATTTGGACTGCCATGCTACATGTGGCCTGAATGCATTTTAAATGCGATTCCCACGGTGCGGTGCGACGGATAAGCACACGACACGCGATCAGCTGTTTTAGAACAATACCAGACGTCACCTGTCGCACGGTCGTACCGTGCGAGGTGTCACAAGCTTCCTTTATAACTGTCGTCTCTGTTAAACATAGAGACAAAAAGTTTTATGAGGAAATTTAACGGAAAAACTTTGTCCCAGGTTCTAATAGCTGTCGAATGCTCAGTGGACTGGCTACAGTAATAGGATGATGTTGTAAATGGAACTCTGATGAGTAAGCAATAACGGCAGATGAAAAAGCTCATCGTTTCTTCGATGTTACTATTATATGAAAAGAAACAGATGTTTAATTATAGCGTCGACCGAGATTTCGTTTTTCGCGCTAATTTAAAAATAGCGCGGGAACACCCTGTGTATGTCGACGTACATTTATTAACGACATTAACATTTAATCGTAATTCCACGTTTTATTTATTGTTACCATTAGTTTTAATTACTAGTCGCACGGTGAGTAGTGCTATTAGAATTTTTGCAAAACGAGACAACATAATTCAGCCAATTAAACTTAATGATAACTTGTTTGACCAAGTTTATCCCATAAATATCGCATTTTTTATAAATAAAAATGTCACGACTGATAACCATTTAAGCTTTAAGTGTATATTTTTGGCACGATTTAAAATTATCCGTTGATATTTACGTAACTTCAGCTTTGATTTATGCTTCTAATCCAATTTGTATCTGCCGATTAAAAGATATACGCGAAATGACAAGATTACGCCAGTTCCGAAATTAACATCAGATCCTACACAGTCAAAATTTCATATAATTAACTTACATTACGA